AGGGCCCAGAATCTGATGCAAAACTGTACGATTTTCCATCATGCTGGGTTCTGCCTGGATTGGGAAATAGGTGAGGGGCATCCTCTAGGGCAGAGGGAGATGGATGGCGAGCAGTAGGTCAGGAGCCAACAGAATTTGGCAACTGATCAATAGGAGCAAGACTGAGGTAAAGGTCCAGGCTTGAAGGCACCCCACCGTGTCAAGTCTGTGCCCTTCCTGTTGAGCAGTGTTTCCATGCAACTCCTGTATGGTCTCCGTCTTGTCTCCTGCAGGCCAAGCTGAGGCCCCTTTTTAGGCATAATGCCCCAGACTTTTAAGGTCCTGCACAATGTGTTTGGCGTCTTTCCTTCCTTCTTGGTGCTCCCCCCATACCCTACCTCCTTCCTGTGCTGGAGCCTCTCATCCAGGGCTCTGCTACTCATGTGTTGCCAGGCAATGGAGGTCTCCAAAGAATTCCTTCATTTCCCTCCCCATCAGACAACCAGGGGTGATGCAACCTGCTTGCAACTGCCGCCTCACTCCCCAAGCCAAGTCCCTCCGCACTGTAAAAGAGTTCCCCCAACACCCTCCCCCCCAGCCTCCCGCTGACTGAAGAGGCCACAGCACTTACAATCTAGAGGCAGAGGTCAGACTGCGGCATTTGAATGCTGGATCAGGACTGGGCACTGGCTACGGCTCAGGGTGCCAAGACCTGAGTGGCAGACAGCCATGGATGCCTCACCGTCATATCTGGAAGCTGCTGGGAAGAGTAGCTTAAGTGTGTAGACCAGCACGTACTCAGCAGCACTGAGTGGGACCCAACAGCTAAAGAGAGCAAAAGGTCCAAGAGCTGACACGGGGAGCGAGGGGCCCACCACTGTCTTCTCATTCAGCATATGCTGCATGCAACAGCATTCTCCTATACAAATTCATTCCAGTTAGACATGAGGTTCAAAGCCAGCCGGAGCCAAAAAGTCCTTGAGACTCTTATTTCCAATAAACCACTCAGAAAAAGCTGGAAGTGGCTCTGTGGCTCAAGTGGTAGAGCACTAGCCTTGAGCCTTGAGCCGAGGGACAGCGCCCAGGCCCAGAGTTCAAGCCCCAGGACAAAAAAAAAACAAAAAACCAAGAGCCAGGTGCAGTGGCTCATAAGTGTTCAAGGGGCTGAGATACAGAAGCCAGGCCAGGCAGAAAAATAACAAGCAAAAGGCTAAGCCAGAGGGATGGCTCAAAGTGGTTGAGTGCTATCCATGCAAGCAAACTGAGCAAGCATGAGACTCTGAGCTCCAGTACTAGGTAAAAAAAAAAAAAAAAAGGGGAAAAAATGTAACCCAAGTCTGAGACAAAACCAAACTGAAAAATATTTCACAAACACTCATCCAGAATTCATCAGGACCGTCAAGGTCATGAGAGAAAGGGGCCTCAAGGCAGTCACAGTTAAGGAGACACATGGCTGACCAGTGTGGTGTCCTAGGTGGTTGCTGAGACGGAGAATGGGCATTTTGATAACTAGTGAAATCACAAGTGCGAAATTCAGTCAGCAGCTTCCTTGGTTGGGACAAAGGCCCCAGAGCAGTCCAAGATACTAACCATAGGAAAGCAAGGGTGAAGGGCAGACAGAAACTCTGCCCTGGAAGTGGTGCTGGGACTCAAGTGGTAGAGCGCTAGCCTTGAGCAGAAGAGCTCAAAGACAGTGCCCCAGGCCTAGAGTTCAAGCCCTATGGCTGCCAAAAAAGAAAAAGAAATAAAGAAAAAAGAAATGGGTTGGGAAGGTGGCTCAGTGGTAGAGCGCTTGCCTTGCATGCCTGAGGCCCTGGGTTCGATTCCTCAGCACCACATAAGCAAAAAGAAAAAAGTGGCGCTGTGGCTCAAGTGGTAGGCGCTAGCCTTGAGCTGAAGAGCTGAGGGACAGAGCCCAGGCCCAGAGTTCAGGCCCCACGACTGGACCCAAAAAAAAAAAAAAAGACAGAAAAAAGAAATTTCACCATATCTTCCTGTAAATGTAGTATTTTTAAAATTTCTTTTGGCATTTGAGACTTGAACTCAAAACCTCCCGCTTGCTAGTGCTGTTACCACTGAAGCCACTGAAGTCCTGTCTACAAAAAAAATATCTGGGCTGGGAAGGTGGTTCAGTGGCAGAGTGCTTGCCTTGCATGCATGAGGCCCTGGGTTCGATTCCTCAGCACCACATAAGCAGAAAAAGCTGGAAGTGGCGCTGTGGCTCAAGTGGTAGGCGCTAGCCTTGAGCTGAAGAGCTGAGGGACAGAGAGGCCCCACGACCGGACCAAAAAAAAAAAAAAAAAAAATCTAAAAATACATGCTGGCTTAGGATGTATATCAGTGGTAGAATGCTTGCCTAGCATGCCTGAGCCCTGGGCTCCATCCCCAGCAAAGGGCAGCAGGCTAAATGAGGGATGTTGTTACCTGTAGTCCCAGCTACTTGGGAAGTCTGAAGAAGTTCAACTGAGACCACCAACCTTGGCAGCAGAATGATACCCCTATCTCAAAAACAAGCAACCCCCAGGACATTTTTCAGAGGCAGATTCTGAAGAATTGTGCATGCTCACTGCCCAGAGCAGGCCTGTAGCCTAGCGCCAACCCCACTCAACCTTCCAGGTCCTCCTCTACTGAGTGGAAGTGGGTCCCTATGTCTCCTGAAAATGTGGAAGAGCAGTTTTATAGCACTTACAGCTCAACAATGGAGTCAGAACATATTTATGTCAATACTAGTAAGAACCCTTATGCAGTACTACTGTATACCAGGCACACTATGAATGTCCACATGGGAAACTGAGGCACAAGGAAGTCATGCCAGGGTCATACAGGGTGCAGTTGCAGTCTGAACCCAAATAATTTGGCTCCAGAATGTGCTTTTTTTTTTTTGGTCGGTCATGGGGCTTAAACTCTGGGCCTGAGCCCTGTCCCTCAGCTCTTCAGCTCAAGGTTACACTCTACCACTTGAGCCCCAGCTCCACTTCTGGTTTTCTGGTGGTTCATTGGAGATAAAGAGTCTCAGGGACCTTCCTGCCCAGGCTGGCTGTGAACTGTGATCCTCAGATCTCAGCCTCCTGAGTAGCTAGGATTACAGGCATGAGCCACGGGTGCCTGGCTGCTTTTAAATTTTGTTTTGTCTATACTGCTTATATAAATATAGCACCTATCAACAAAGGCAACAGAGTGCAAATGTTCAATGGAATGGATAGGAAGTATTCTATGGGAAGGTAGTCAGATCCCAAGGACTTCCTATATGGGACAGGGAAGGGGGCTGAAGAAGCCTGCATGTAACTCTCAAGACCCCTGCCTTCTCTGGATCTTGACTCAGGTCTCTTAACTGCCATGAGAAAACTCCCATATGGGATGACCTGATAGGAATGGGGGCAGAGTGAGGGAAGGGAGGGGTAACCACAGAAGAAAAATATGCCACCAGGCTGGTGGAGGGCTATAAGCGGAGTGCAACCAAGCTCCCTCTCCCTAACAGATATCCAGTGGTGGCCAGATATCCCAGCCACCCTACCTAGATGCACACCTATAATCCCAGCCACCCTACCTAGAACCCTATCTCAAAAAGTCAATACAGGGCTGGCAAGGTGGCTCAGTGGTAGAGTGCTTGCCTTGCATTCATGAGGCCCTGGGTTTGATTCCTCAGCAGCACATAAGCAGAAAAAAACGCAAGTGGCACTGTGGCTCAAGTGGTAGAGTGCTAGCCTTGAGCTGAAGAGCTGAGGGACAGCACCCAGGCCCAGAGTTCAGGCCCCAAAACTGACCAAAAACAAGTCAATACAGCTGGGAGCTGGTGGCTCACACCTGTAATCCTAGCTACTCAGGAGGCTGAGAGCTAAGGATTGCGGTTCAAAGCCAGCCAGGGCAGGAAAGTCCATGAGACTCTTATCTCCAATTAACCATCAGAAGAGAAGAGCTCAGGGACAGTGCCCAGGCTCAGAGTTCAAGCCCCACGACGCGGGGAGGGGGAGGTTAATACAGGGCCCAGAATGTGGCTTAGTGGTAGAGTGCTTGCCTAGCATGCATGAAAGCCTGGGTGTGATTCCTCAGCACCACATACACAAAGAAAGCCAGAAGTGGTGCTGTGGCGCAAGTGGTAGAGTGCTAGCCTTGATCAGAAGGAGCAAAAGACAGTGCCCATCCCCTGAGTTCAAGCCCCAAGACTGGCCAAAGGGGTGGGGGGGGGGAAGGGAGTCAATACAATCAAAAGGGGTGGGAATGTGTTAGAGTATTTGAGTAGCACGTGTGGCCCTAGGTTCAATCCCCAGTTCTGCCAAACAAAATTAAAAAATTAAAACTAACTTTTAAAAAAGGGTTTTAGGAGTTCTAAGCTCAGGGCTTCCTAGTCTAGTTTTTTTTTCCTTTTTTCATTTTTTAGTCTAACCCAAGCTGGACTGGAACTGGCCATGTGGCCTGGGCTGACTCTGGGCATGCATCACGGAAGATTTTTCTCCTTTTACGAATACCAAACCGAGGGCCCAGGCCAGTCCTCGGGTTTGAAGGCGGCGCGGCATGGGTGTGACTTCACGTCCGCCTAACCCACGCGGGTTTCCTGGGGTGCTTGGTCGGCGGGGGACATATGGAGGAGTCCAAAGCGGAGCTGGAAGGAAGTTCGCGAGCCAGAGAGAGAAGAGAAGAAGCTGCCGTGGGTCAGAGGGGAGGATGGGGTCGGATCCCCCAGCCTCATCAGAGCGGACGCGCCGGGCCCCGGAACCGGGCCCCAGAGGCGAGATGGCCAGATGGGGGGCCAGGGGCGAACCCCAGAGGCCGTTAGCAGGGGCTCGGCCCCCGCCATCCTGAGGGTGCGGGGCGGCCTCCCGGGGGAAGCCGCGCAGAGGCGGGGCGGGGCGCGGAAGGATCCGGGCGGGCCGCGCCGCCCCGAGTATATCTGTCCCCGGTCCCCGGGGCCGCCTCATTCCCTGTCCTCAGACCACGACTTGTCCCGCCGCCACGCCGCCGCCGCCCGCGCAGCCCCCGCCATGGCGCTGTAAACGCGACCCCGTCGTGCCCCGGACCCGTGCCCGCGCTCACCGAGCCTGCGCTCACCGCTCCCGCCTTCTCCCTTCAGCCGAGGCCGCCGCCGCCGCCTCTCTTTTCGGCAGCCATGGAGTAAGTAACCGCTCGCCCCTCCCTCTCCAACCGCCTTTCCCGCCCTTTCGCAGCTCGCGGCCTGCACCGCCAAGCCGGGGAGGGCGGGGGGGGGGGGAGAACGCGAGCGGAGAATCACGGTCGCGCAGGCGCAGAAGGGGGTAAGTGGGTCCTCAGCACGCTACTGAGCATGCGCACTCTGCCTAAGAGAAGGAGGCGGGGAAGGCGGTAGAGGGGAGAGCCAGGAAGTTTTTCCCGGAGTGTTGCTGTTTAAAGGCCACCCTCGTGTTACTGCGCATGCGCACTAGCCTGGACACGTGGCCCGCGAGCTGCTGCTCCTTGCGCATTAATCCCGCCCTGTTCCGTAGGAAGGGCGGGCCGTGTCGGGTTGCACTTGCGCAGTAATCCCCTAGAGAGTGGCAGCTGGGGAACAATGATCGGCCCCACAGTTGGAGCCATGCGCTTTGGCGCTCTCCGAGGTTGCCGCACCGAAGGCTGGGGGCTGGGAAGGCGTTCTCCGCCGGGCCCTGCCGACCAAAGCTGGGGCTTGCTGACGCGCCAGAGTCTAGCTCCATTTCGTTCGGCCACTTATGTGGGCAGGGATTAATTTAGATTGACAGCAGAAGGCGGGGCTTCCATAAACCGGAGCCGGGGACGAGGACAGCCTAGGGGGAGCCCGCGGCTCATCGGGAGAAAGAGGCGGGGCCTCTGGGGAGGCTGAGGGCGGGGCTAGGCTGTGGGGGCGGGGCTTGGAGAGAGACTGACAATCTGATCATTGTAACGATTTAAAGGGAAAAGCAGGATTTGCGTGGATGACATTGGGAGAGAGCCTGAGTGTGGGGGAGTTCCCACGGGCACTAGTTTGGCTTGAATCCCAGGGAAGGAATGGCGCCTAACGAAGGAGGAGTGGGGGGGAGCTTGCAGAAAATTCCCCTGGGAATTTGAAATTATTTTTTTCCCCAGAGGAGTATTAGGAAGGGGGTGGGCGGGGCTTAAGTTATTTCCCCTGGGAGACGTTTAGATTTGTTTGTCAGGTGACAAGGTAGGGGTTAGGGGTGGGTTCTCTAATAAAAGCGAATTCCCTTGGGAGTGATTGGGGCTTAAAATTTTGGGGAAAGAAGAATTCTGAGAAGACAAGGCCTGGTCTCAAGCCTTGATTGGAGGGATGGGAAGACCTCACCACCACTAACAGGCATTGGGCGTGGCCGGCTTTCCCAGTTCCTTGCTGGTGGGTGAGGCTGGCCTCTGACCCCACCCACTCTTGTCTCACTCATGCAGGTCCTCCACTTTTACCCTGGTGCCCGTCCTCACCCAATTGAGCAACCGTCAGAGCCACCTTCCAGTTGGCACAGCCCTCATCGCCATCGGTGTCCGACGCCTGTGCCACGGCCATGTCACTCCTGGCAACCCTGGGGCTGGAGCTGGACAGGGCCCTGCTCCCAGCTAGCGGGCTGGGCTGGCTTGTAGACTATGGGAAACTCCCCCTGGCCCCTGCCCCCCTGGCTCCCTATGAGGTCCTTGGGGGAGCCCTGGAGGGCGGGCTTCCAGGGGGGGGAGAGCCCCTGGCAGGTAAGGCAAGTGGAGAATGGATATGGGGTAAAGTGGGGGGGGGGCTAGGGACAGGGAAAGAGCTCGTTTATTTACTCCTTCATTTGGTAAATATTTAAGTCTAAAAATGTGCCAAAGCACTAATTTAGATACTGGGGACACATCTAGGGATAAAAGTAACCTGATTCTTGTCCCCTGGAACTCACATGGTAGTGGGGAGACTGGCAAGAGACAGAAGATGATTTCTAAGTAGAAAACTTAACTGAGCTGGAACTCCACTGGCTCACACCTGTAGTCCTAGTTACTCAAGGGATCTGAGGCTGGGCACTGGTGGCTCAGCCCTCTAATTCAAGCTACTAAGAATGCTGAGATCTGAGATTAGTTTGATGCCAGCCTGAGCAGGAAAGTCCATGAGACACATCTCTAATTAACCACCAGAAAACCAGAAGTGACACTATGGCTCAAAGGGGTAGAGCCTTAACCTTGAGCAAAAAGAGCTCAGGGCCAGTGCCATGTCCAAGTTCAAGCCCCGTGACTGACTAAAAAAAAAGTGAAGCTGTGGTTCAAATGATAGCACAATAGCCTTGAGCAAAAGAAGCTCAAAGACAGCACCTAGTTCCAGGACCTAGTTCCAGCCCCAGGACCCATCAAAAAAAGAAAAAAGAAGAAAACACTTAACTGACTGGTTAGTTGTTTCCCTGAATGATCTGAACAAATAAGTCACACACACACATATACATACACACACACATACCTGTGAGTACCCAGTAGAGCTCAGGGAACTTTCTGTCCCTTCTTCAACCCCCAGGTGATGGCTTCTCTGATTGGATGACCGAACGAGTTGACTTCACAGCTCTCCTCCCCCTGGAAGCCCCACTTCCCTCCGGTGCCCTCCCTCCCCCTTCCCCAGCCCCCCCTGATCTGGAAGTCATGGCATCCTTACTCAAAAAGGAGCTAGAACAGATGGAAGACTTCTTCCTGGATGCCCCCCTCCTCCCACCATCTTCCCCACCACCACCCCTGCCACCTGCGCCCACCCTCCCTCTGCCCCTCCCCACGTTTGACCTCCCCCAGCCCCCTGCCCTGGATACCCTGGACCTGCTGGCCATTTACTGCCGCAGTGAGGCTGGGCCGGGGGACATGGGCTTGGCATCCCTGCCAGGCCCCCAGGTGCCCCCTCCTCCTCCTCCTCTCCCTCCTCCACCACCACCGCCATCTTGCCGCCCAGCCCCTTACCCCAATCCTGCCACCACCCGTGGGGACCGCAAGCAGAAAAAGAGAGACCAGAACAAGTCAGCGGCTCTCAGGTACCGCCAGAGAAAGCGGGCGGAGGGCGAGGCCCTGGAGGGCGAGTGCCAGGGGCTGGAGGCCAGGAACCGGGAGCTGAGGGAGAGGGCGGAGTCGGTGGAGCGGGAGATCCAGTATGTCAAGGATCTGCTCATTGAGGTGTACAAGGCCCGCAGCCAGAGGACCCGCAGCAGCTAGACAGGGCTGGGGCCCAGTGACAGGTCCCCTTTCGTCCCCTTCTGTCTTTGTCCTCATAATCGCCTCTCACCCATGTTTGAGTTTTTCCCCCCCTACCAGATGTTCAACATCTGCGCACACACACACTCACATCCCCTCTCCCCCAGTGTATCCCAGGGAACTGAGGCCCTCCGTGGGAGCTAGGAGCTCTGGCTCTGCAGTTCCTTTGCTTTTTCTTGTGGGACTGGGGATGAGCCCAGGGCATGGTACATGACTTCTGCTCCCTTCCCATGAGGCTCTAAGATTTCAATGAGTGGTTTCCTGCAAATGGGGCAGAGGGGCCACAGGGCCAAGCCAGGAGGGAAGCTACCATGCAAAGAAGAGAACACAGCTTAAAAGCAGGCCAGCTCAGGGAGGGAGGAAACCAGTCCACAGATCCAGATGGTGGGGAAGAAAGGGGTACTGTAGCTGGTGGCTGGGTAGGGAGGATTCATTTTAGCTTGGGAAAGAATCAGTGTTTGTGAAGGTGTTGGGATGGGCTACACATAGGTGAAGGGGGCGCTGGTCCAGGGTCGGGGGGAGCTAGGAGAAAAATAAAGTACAGAATTTCCACTGATTAGTGTGTCTCGTCTTTGTTTCTTTGTTTTGACAGCATCAGGACTTGAACTCAGGGCCTGGCACTGGCTAGACAGTTGTCTACTGAAATGGTGGCACTGTTTCTCAGTTCATATCCAAAAGCCAATGGCAATGGATGCCAGACTCAAGGACAAAAGCAGCAGGCACAGTTGGATGCCATGGCTCATGCATGTAATCCTGACTACTCAGGAGGCTTTGATCTGAGGATCATGGTTCAAAGCCAACCTGGGCTAGAAACTCCATGAGACTCCAATCTCTAATGAACCACAAGGAAAACAAGTGGAGCTATGGCTCAAAGTGATAGAGGGCTAACCTTGAGAAGACAAAGCTCAGGGACAGTGCCCAGGCCCTGAGTTCAAGCCCCATGACTGACAAATCCTTCCTTATTTAGTGCTTAAACTGGGGCTTCAGCTTTCCTGCTCACAGCTAGCACCACTTGAGTCACACCTCCACTTCTGCCTTTTGTTGGATATGTCTGTTCGAGATGGCTTCAAACCTTGATCCTCAGATCTCAGCCTCCTAAGTAGCTAAGATTATGGGCATAAGCCAGCCACCAGCCCCAGACAAAACTCATTTTTTTAAATTTTTTTTGCCAGTCCTGGGACTTGAACTTGGGGGCTTGAACTGTTCCTGAGCTTATTTTGCTCAAGGCTAGAATTATCATAGTGCCACTTCCGGCTTTTTCTGTTTATGTGGTACTAAAGAATTGAACCAGGGCTTCATGCATGCTAGGCAAGCGTTCTACATACCCAAGCCCGCCTTTACTTATTTTAAAGAAGTGTGTGGTGGAGCATCCTAGTCAGTCCAGCTGTGCAGGAAGCCTAGAAGGAGGCTTTCAAGTCCAGGCTGACCAGGCATAAACAGACTATTCAAAACATAAAACAAAGAGGACGCTGGGCGCTGGTGGCTCACGCCTGTAATCCTAGCTACTCAGGAGGCTGAGATCTGAGGATCAAGGTTCAAAGCCAGCCCAGGCAGGAGAGACCGCGAGACTCCTATCTCCAATAAACCACCAGAAAACCGGAAGTGGCGCTGTAGCTCAAGTGGTAGAGTGCTCACCTTGAGCTGAAGAGCTGAGGGACAGCGCCCAGGCCCAGAGTTCAAGCCCTGCAACCAACCAAAAAAAAAAAAACAGAGGACTAGGGGTCAGAGTTCAAATCATAGAGAGCCTGCCTAACAAGCACAAAGTCCTGAGTTCAACCTTCCCCCAAAACAAATCTAACCCAAAACTTGGGGCTGTGGTATAGCCCAGCTCTATATCACTTGTCTGGCATGCACGAGGTTCAATCCCCAACACAACAAAAGCAACACAAAATAAGGAAGGAGAAGAAAACCCTGGCCCCCCAGTGGGATTGCACCTTACAATATGTCTGCCAGTGCCTGTCAGGAGGGTGGATCCTGTGAGGCAGAGGTTGGGGTGTCAGGTTGTCACCCTACTCTTGACTGCTTCATGGAGTAGATGTTTGCCTGAGCTATGAATGAGCAAGTGAGTGAGTAAATAAACCAATGAGTGAGTGAAGGAATATATGGCTAACCCAATGCATGAGTGAATAAGCTAATGGATGAATGTTTCAAGAATGAGGGGCTGGGAAGGTGGCTCAGTGGTACAGTGCTTGCCTTGCATGCATGAGGCCCTGGGTTCAATTCCTCAATACACAGAAAAAGCTGGAAGTGGAGCTGTGGTTTGAGTAGTAGAGCAGTAACCTTGAGCTGAAGAGCTGAGGGACAGCGCCCAGGCCCAGAGTTCAGGCCTACAACCAACAACAACAAAAAAATGAGTGAATGAATAAATGTTTGAAGAATGAGTAAGTACATTGGATGGGCACTGGTGGTTCACACCTGTGATTCTAGCTATTCAGGAGGCTGAGAATTGAGGATCATGGTTCAAAGCCAGCCCGGAACGTCCATAAGACTTTCTTTTTTGTCAGTCTCAGGGCTTTAACTCTGGGCCTGGGGGCTGTCCCTCAGCTCTTCAGCTCAAGGCAAGTGCTCTACCACTTGAGCCACTGAGCCACTTCCAGTTTTCCAGCCACCTGGGCTGGCTTTGAACCATGATCCTTATATCTCAGCCTCCTGAGTAGCTAGGATTATAAGTATGAGCCACCTATGCTCAGCCATGAGACTCATCTCCAAAGAACCACGAGAAAACCAGAAGTGGTGCTATGTCTCAAGTGGTAGAGCGCTGGCCTTGAGCTGAAGAGCTCTGGGACAGTGCCCAGGCCCATAGTTCAAGCCCCATGACTAACCAAAAAAAAAGTAATGGAGCGAATCATCAGAAATCCCATTACTCAGCTACAGCCATCGCTCCCCTGTCCCTCTTGGGGGCTCTGGTGTACTCTGAGAATGACCAGGACAGCAACTTCTGGCTGGGACAAGTTCCTCCCTGCCCCCTGTCCTAGGTCTTGTCAGGGAAAGCAGAAGTTGGGAGAGGATCTCTGCAGACAGAGCATTTCTGCAATTCCTCTTGGCCAGAGGTCCCAGCCAAGGCCCTGACATGCATCAGCTGCTCCTGCTGCTGCTCCTGCTGAGGGCAAGGGGCCAGGCGGACAGGCCAGGGCACCAGGTGGAGCCCCGAGGAAGGATTCAGCTCAAAGTTCCACAGCACCAGCTGAAGGTACAGGAGTCGGTGACGGTACAGGAGGGCCTGTGCACTCTGGTGTCCTGCTCTGTCCACTACTCCCAGGTGGGCTGGAACTACTCTGTGCCTGCCTATGGCTACTGGTACCGGAGAAAGAAAAGTTCTGGTTTCAGTGCAGACCCCAGTGCTCTTGTGGCCACGAACAACCCGGACAGAAGAATGGCAACGATTACCCAAACTACTGCTTTCCACCTTATTGGGGACCCAGGAGCTAATGACTGCTCCCTGAGAATCTCAGGAGCCCAGATGGGCGACAGTGGACGCTACTATTTTCGCCTGGAGAGAGGAGATGAGAAATTCACCTACAAAAATCCCCTTCTCATGGTGACTGTGACAGGTAAGGGACTGTCCCCATGAGGGAAGCTTGGATTGCGTGGGGACAGATGGCGGCCAGAGCCTGGGTGATTCGGGGTTCATGTGTATCAGAGGCTCACATGGGCCCCCTGTGCATGTGGCTCTCTTTCTGTCCTCACCAGCGCTGACACAGATCCCCGACATCAACATCAAGGAACCCCTGGAGGCAGGCCGCCTCAGCCACCTGAGGTGCTCCATGCCTGGGACCTGTGAGGGGGCCCTGGCCCCTAACATCTCCTGGCATGGGTTGGCCTTGAAGGCCCACAGCTCCCAGAATATCACAGTTATTCCCCGGCCCCAGGATCATGGCTCCAACATCACGTGTCGGGTGATCCTTCCCACCACTGGGGTGTCTAGAGAACGGACTGTGCAGCTCAGTGTGTTCTGTGAGTGCTGGGGAGAGGATGTGGGGGTGCTGTGGTGTGGATGCATTGTGATTCCCCATGTTCCCATGGTGAAATCGGGTCCCCCAATTGGAGATGGAATTAGGAGGCCCCAGGGGGCCCTGTCCCCACCACCCACCAGTGGCAGCACAAACAGAAGCTACCACCTGGGAGGCAGCATCCATCTCCCCTTCCCCATGCTGACCTTGATCAGGGGGTCAGGAACTGGGGAGCCGGGTGCTGGTGGTTCATGCCTGTCATCCTAGCTACTCAGGAGGCTGAAGTTTGAGGATCGCAGTTCAAAGTCAGCCCAGGCAGAAAAGTCCTTGAGACTTTTATTTTTTTTGGTCAGTCATGGGGCTTGAACTCTGGGCTTGGGCACTGTCCTTGTGCTCTTCAGCTCAAGGCGAGCACTCTACCACTTGAGCTACAGCGCCACTTCCCGTTTACTAGTGGTTTATTGGAGATGAGAGTCTCACGGACTTTCCTGCCTGGGCTGGCTTTGAACCTCAGATCTCAGCCTCCTGTGTAGTTAGGATTACGGACGTGAGCCACCAGCGCCTGGCTTCTGTGAGACTTTTTTTTTTTTTTGGTTCCAGTCATGGGGTCTGAACTCTGGGCCTGGGCGCTGTCCCTCAGCTCTTCAGCTCAAAGCTAGCACTCTACCACTTGAGCCACAGCGCCACTTCCGGCTTTTTTCTGCTTATGTGGTGCTGAGGAATCAAACCCAGGGCCTCATGCATGCGAGCCAAGCACTCTACCACTGAGTCAACTTCCCAGCCCCTCTGTGAGACTTTTATTTCCAATGAACCACCAGAAAATCAGAAGTGGTGCTGTGGCTAAAGTGGTAGAGCATTGTCCTTGAGCTGAAGAGGGACAGTGCCCAGGCCCAGAGTTCAAGCCCCATAACTGACCAAAAAGAACAGGGGACAAGTTTCTGTCACTGATAAGCCACCAGACCTGTGCTAGTCTATGGCCAAGTGGGGCCCTGAGAGAAGGGCTCAGCCTGCAACCTGAAGGATACAGGGCCTCCCAGCCTCTCGTCCCCCCGCCCCCCCCCAAAGCCCAAGGCAGGAACATTGGTCGGGTCAGGTCTACTTCCTATTTCGTGTTCCTGGTTCCTGGATGGTGGTGCGAGGTGGGGGTGGGGGCTGTCAGCCGTGGACCTGGCCCTCACTGCATCTCTCTGTCCAGATGCTCCTCAGATGGTGACCATCAGCAGCAGTGGAGGAGGTAACACAGGTAGGCTGGCCATCTCTCTTAGGAGGGCAGGATGGGTCCCTGCCAGCTGTGAGTGGAACTGTCTAGTGGCTGGAATGGGTGGGGTGATGTGGAGGGGGACTGTCTCTTCTGGATGGGAGAAAATTGAAAATTGGTGTGTGTGTGTGTGTGTGTCCTAGAACTTGAACTCAGAGCCTGGGCACTGTCACTGAACTTTTCTACTCAAGGCTGGTGCTCTACCACTTGAACTGCAGCTCTACTTCTGGCCTTTTGGCAATTCATTGGTGACGTTTCATGGACTTTTCTGCCCAGGCTGGCTTTGAACTGTGATCCTCAGATCT